TTGATAAAAGCTCAAAATTAAAAAGGGTTTCTGATAACCCCTAAACTTAAGGGGGTTTTCTAATATTTTAAAAGTTAAGAAGGTTTTTTATGATAATCATCGAAGTTAATGTGGGTTTTAAGATATTTAGCCTTTTTTTTATAACCTGACCCGAAATCAAATCCAAGATGATGAGAGCCAAATTGGAAGCTCTGAACCATTCGGATAACCCGTGGTGGACTATAAATGTACACTTCACCTTTGAGTATATTTGTAGTCCAGAGGTAACATGAGATTGCTAGATGAACTATTTCCAAATACATAAAACTTAGAAAAGTATTTCATATCAAATAAAATTAAGGACATTCATCCCTTTGAAATTTTACCCTAATAACAAATATCCACTCTATCGATTTTTAGTTTTTACCTCTCAAATTTTATTACGCTGCCATTTAGACCAGTGACCTATTTTTATCCCTGTGACAAATACGGTACCCACTTGTTTTACAACTAGACAACCAGCATATAAGTCGCTAATTATTTTTGAAAAAAATAATTCATAATAGGGAAGAAATGTAATTAATTATCAACGAATTCAATATTTGTTTTCTAAAATTACTTCCAAAAAAGGCCAGTCCATGTTTGGGCTCAGCGATTCTGAGCCGTGCAAATTGGCGAGCCCTGGTTTTTCTCCACTAATATCGCGCTCTGGTAAAGAAGTGGATGTGGCTTTTGTTTGAGGCTGAGGTTATTACCACGATGATGATGGGCACGCGAAGCCCATTACTACCGAAACCATTTCTGTTTCAATGGAGAATCAGAGATAGAGGCCCCTCTTTTTCTACTAGAACTTCTTCTGCTTCTTCTTCTTCTGCTGCTGGAGATGATCAGGGCGCATCCGCCGCATCCCCTTATGAGATCCTTGGGGTGGACCCCACCACCACCCCCTGCTCCCCTGCCCAGCTCAAAGCAGCCTTCCGAGCTCGCGTGAGTTGCTGTTCCTCTCTGATCTTCTTGCTAATCATCATCAGGACAAATTTTCAAAAGAAACCCACTTGTGAACTTAATCCCAAAAAAACAACCTCATTCAAACAAAATTACAAAAAACGTCCTGATTTTAGCCTCAGCGCTAAAACTAGGTCGGTTTTTGAAAAAAAAAAATTTGAAACTTCACGGGAGTTCAGTTGAACTCCCGTAAAGTTTAGTAGATTTGCTAAACTTCACGGAATTTTAACTCCCGTAAAGTTTCATAGTTCAAAAAAATTTTTGAACTATGAAACTTCACGGGAGTTGAACTCCTGTGAGGTTTCAGATTTTTTTTTTTTTTAAACCGACCTGGTTTCAACGCTAAGACTGAAACCAGGTCGGTTTTTGTAATTTTGTTTGAATGAGGTTGTTGTTTGAGAATAAAAATTTAAATGGGTCTCTTTTGAAAATTTGTCCATCATCATCATTTTGTTTTAACGAAGGCGTGCCCAGCTTCATGCATGCTTTGACACGACATCACTCGGTTTTGCTGCGCTCCGTTACCGTGTACTGCTGTTTTAGTTAGGGATGGACTTCATTTAGTAGCAGGCGCGTCATTTCTTAGGTGTGCGCTAATAATAATATGCGCTGTTGAAAAGAGATTTAAGCGTGCTTCGATGCTAAAAAAGGGACTTGACACATGAAGAAGATTTTTCTTCCCCTGCCTTTTTTAGTTGTAGTGAAAAGGAGCATGGAAGTTGGCGGGTGGATCTTTTCGTCGAAACATACAACGTGTAGAATTCACAAAATCCATAAATTATGAATTTGGTTTAACAAAAACAGTAAGCGTGTTAAGAGCTAGAGACCTGTACCAGATAGTAATCCAGAATTTAGAAACGCTAAAAAGGAATGCAAGTTAAAGAAGTGATCTCCTGTACTTTTACTCATGACCAGATTTAAAATAGGGGGGACTCATTGCTGCTCTTACTTAATTAAGCACGTTGTTGCTTTTGATCATCTCCGCCCGCCCTCAAGCTGTGACTGGGTCATGGCTACTTATTGGGTGTCTCCAATCGATTTGCGGTTCTCGGTAACATTCTCACATTACAATTATGGTGCTTGAATTTGGACCTTTATTACTTTAGCACAATTAGAATTGTGGCCATGTTGATTTAACTAAAATAGTTTTTTTTTTCCTTTGTATTTTTCTGAAAAGATGTATCATAGTCTTTTAGTTTTGCATGTGTTGCAGGCATATATATCCCTTCTTTGTCCACAAATGCTCGCAAATAATACACGCTTAATTATCAAAATGACAATTCTAGTGTTCTAAAGTGTACTATGACTCTAAATACAAATCAATTTAATCATACACTCCCAATATCAGTTACCATTTAAAGTAGCGTCCACATACTCGTGACCAAAGCATTCCCTGGGCATGGTAATGCTGACTTAGACCAATGTTTAACTTATGTAACTTCTTTTTGATTAATGTATGTAACCTTTATTTTTCTATGCAGGTCAAGGAATTCCATCCTGATGTATGTAAAGATAACGTAGATGCAGGTGCAATAATCCAACGTGTAATTCAAGCATATGAGGTAGCTTCAACACTGTATAATTTTATATAAGCTCTCAATCTGACTCGCCTAATTGATCTTGAGGTATTACAAAGTAGAAGCATGCGTCTAGATTTGAAATACTGCTCTTACGCTTCTGCATGCAGAAGTTAACTGATAATCCTGCACATTTCATATTCTTGGAAAAAGCAATTATGTATATATCTTGATAGGTGTTTCTCCTGATGTTCATGTCCTAATTAAAGAGATTTTAGTTCAATACATTAATGTAAAAGAGTCCAACAATCGTTCATCGCCCATTGGCAGGTTTTGTAGCATATTATTGTTGTACCTATACTACAAGTTGGATAAGGATGCTCATGAGATATGATTTGAAGGGCAGTTCTATAAGATGTCTATAAGACTAGAAATGCTTTACAAGTTAGTATTTCAGATATTTAGAGACATATCCAGAAAAAAAGTTTACCTTAGATGAGAGTATTTAGATGGACAAATGACAATACATTAATTAATAAATGATTGCTTCGGTAAGAATTCAGAGCTAGTTCCATTGAGGACTTAACGAGGACGGGATGGTTTGTTCATGTGCCTATCAATAAGAGCACCATTTATAAGTAGAATCTAGTTGATGGAGAAGGTGGTGGGCCTAAGTGAATATGTTGAAGGGAATTAGAAAGGATACAGTTGCTGATAAGTTGACTGATAACACTATCTTTAAAAAACTGAATGGAAGAGGAGATTTAAGTAACCAACCAAAAAATGATTGTCTTTCTCTTTTCATTATAGTTTTTGGGTTTTAACCACAGTACAAAATCATTGATTTTTTTTCTCTTAAGAAGTGAGTCATTCTCGTCCTTGGTGTGTTGTGAGACTTTGAGTATGTGCTTGAAATCATGGTTTACTATTCTGATATCTCTTGAGAGGTTTAATTACAACAACGAAGTTCTTAATTTCAAAACTTTTTGGTTACTTGATAATATTCGTCCATTCAATTTTATTAAGTGCCTTGACCACAGTAATTCATCTAAGTTTCATGAGGTCTGCATCCTCATTGCTCAATTAACCATGAGTCTGTTGTCCTACCACTTCTCCTGAATGTCTTAGCTATTAGCCAACATTGCATATGCCTAAATCATCTCAGCAGATTCTCTCTCTGTTTATTCTCAACAAGAGTAACCTCTTACTTATTATAAATGTAATCATTTCTTATCCTACCTCTTATTATACTTACATTACCCATCTTACTTCCGCATTTCTGCTGCATTGATTTTTATACATGTCGTTAAGAGTGGAAGGAACTTCCTTTGCAAATCTTGATTATTCATAGTGCACTCTTATTTATTTTGCAAATGACAGTATTGGTTGTAGCAAGAGCATACATGGTGTACAGTCAACCTACCTTTAGCTGTAATGAATCACTTCTTTTTACCCAGCCTGCCTTTTATTTAATTTTTTTCTCTTTCAGATTTTCTATTTTCCATTGTCTGGAATTAATATTTTTTTTACATAAAGTTCAATAAATATAAAACGGTAAGTATAGCATCTCCATCATTGCCTAATTTTAAGTGTATTTTGGTTTGTTTTTTATGTAGATTTTGTCTAAACGCCATGATCTTGAGGATACTGAAGGGTAATTTCTACTTTACTCCTATCAATATGTGTTACTACACTGCAAGGTGTTTTACTTAGGCATTTATTAGGCATTTATTAGAATTTAATTCTTATATTTATACAAAAAAGTTAACTCTAGGTTACCTTAAAAAAAAGCAAATCCATCATCATCATGATCCAATCTTTCAAAGTTCAAATGGGGATGTGGAGCATGAGTCTAAGTCAAGATAGCTCCATAAAAGAATTTATCTGAGTTTTAGAATCCACTGTCAATGTGATAGTTACTCTCTATGGGTTGCCAAGTTGCTGAGCAGGAAACTATGCTAGAGCTGGATTTGACCTTAAATTTTTGGGCTAGCTCTTTGGAAGGAAAGTCTGCTAATATAAGAGAAGGCCTCTGAGTTCTTCTAAACTAGAACTAACTGGCCAATAGGCATGACAATTACGGTCGTGATTAGTGTTAGTTATAGGCTTATAAAATCTACATTCGTGATGATAATAACTCTGAGAAGAATATTGCTTTCTTGGCTACTGGTTATTACGAAGGTTTTTGACAATAATTTTGACACCGACAATCTTTTTTATAGATCTTATTATATCTAAAACTTGTTATTTGATATCTGGTAGGGCATGCTTAGATCCATTTGATGAGCCAGAATGTGAGGCCTATGATCTCTTCATCAATGAAGTTCTTTGTCTTGGCAAAGGTGAATGTTGCTTTGACATATCATTTTAATTCTTTCTTTGTTACTCTCAAAATTATTGATTGTGTTTCTTTACCAACTTTTGAAATCTAGTGTCACCTTTACCTCGCATAACTGTGTCTTGAGATTTCATATGAAAAAGGTAATATTGAAATGAAAGGTAATAGCATCTTCATGATGATAGCTTTATATGTTGTTGTAGTTCCTAAAGGTGCGTTAAGTTCGCCTATGTACAGCACTTAGAACTGAAATTTGCTTATTAGATAGCTCATTTGTTCATTTATCCTTTTATCTTACTCCATTGCACAAATATGTACTGCTTCTAGCTTGCGTCTTTTTTAATTAGACAGCTTGTTAACCAGTTTTACTTACAACATTACTTACATTGAATAAACTGAAATCTACATCTATATCATTGTTCTGTTAGGGGCATGCACGTGCTATATCCTGTGGAACTCGTTCCCAAGATGGCTGGATTTAGCTTTGTACTTTATGACTATCATCTACTTATCATGTTGAAATAAATAAATTATATATTGTCAGGAAGGCATCTACTTATTTACCATAAAAGCGATATTGCCTTTCTAAGAGATTCAGTTTCAATTTGTTTTCAGGCTGTCCATATTCATGTGTGAAAAGAGCACCCTATGCCTTCTCATTTACTGCTGAAAATGGTACAGCGCGTGCCACTTCTCAAGGTTCGACATGGTTTGAACTTCTTTAGCAGTGAAATGAAGATAGCATGCACTAGTTTTATTAACGATTGCTTTTAGAGGTCGGTTCAGACCTCACTAAAACATTGTCAAAACAACAAAGTCAAGCTCAATTGGCAATTTTTAGTATTTCAAGTGGGTGGGTACGAGAGGGAAGGTAGAGAACATGATACTTCATCTTAACATTATTATTTGCAAAAGAGAAACAAAAGAACAATATTAGTAATTTTAAAAAATAAAGTGCAAAGGGAACTGAGTGAATCTTTAACAAGACGTGGGGTTTTCACCTTTGAGCTGTCAACTTGGAGGAATCATAGGTTTGAAAATGTCCACAGGGTGGAAGCATTTTCTCATTTTATTTATTTCAAGAATACAGTAACTATACATCTATACAATGCTCATGTGCAGTTAAATATACGCACTGGTAAGTTTTTTCACTTGCATGTTTTTGGCCTTTCAATTGATAATTGCAGGGCATAATGACGATTACCAAGTCCAACTTGCTGTAGGGCAGTGCCCAAAGAGATGCATACATTATGTCACACCTTCTCAAAGAGCTGTTCTTGAAGATTTACTTGACAGGTACCGAAATTAATAGCGTGACATACTTTTGTTTGAGAAGATAACTGGAGAGAAATATGAAACTAATTCTCTTTTTCTTTCCCCCCTTCTGCTTCCATTATTATCAGCATCTTAAACGATCCTTATAATATGGGTGACGCGGCCTTGATGGAATCCCTTATTAGCAAAGCAATATTTGAGAACAATAGGTATCAGGAACCCAAAAGGCGGCCAAAGGCTTCAACTGAGTATGTCGATTGGTGTTGATATAACGAGAAGGATCATAGACCATCCGTAGAACTTGTAAGAAATGTGAATCGTGTAGATCACCAATAAAAAGTTGAAGTGTGACTAATATATAGTCTACTTGTGTAAAAGTCTCAGGCTTGATGTATCTTTCCTCGTCTTGTGTATGTCTTTGTGTGTATATGTATTGTATTGTATTATCTTGCATTATATGTGTGAAATACTGATGGTCATATTGTTAAGATCATCTAAAGTATTCATGAAGAGAGAAAGGATCAACTCATGCTCAAATTTCAGATGCAATAGAAGAGCTAGAAGTCATGAGCCCTTCAACATTATGTACTATATTTACTCTCTGCTAATATTATTGTCGATGAGGCTACGACATATACACAAACATAAATAAGGGCGGATTCGGTAAAAGAAAAGAAAAAAAATGAACTGCGGTGTATTGTACAAAATTCCTTTGAACTTTATAAATTAGAGAAAATTTCCTGAACTTGTTTTACTAAAATATTACGATGACTGATAGTTAACATGTCGGACAAATTTTCAAAACAAACCCTTTTTGAAACTTATTTTAAAAAAAACGACATGTTTCAACTTTAATTACCAAAACCGACCTAGTTTCAGCCTCAGGGCTGAAACTACGTCGGTTTTGGCCAAAAAAGTTCCCAAACTTCACGGGAGTTCAAATCCCGTGAAGTTTTTTACATAACAAAACTTCACGGGACTTCAACTCCCGTGAAGTTTTGTTATGTAAAAAAACTTCACGGGAGTTCAACTCCCGTGAAGTTTGAGAACTTTTTTCGCCAAAACCGACCCAGTTTCAGCCCTGAGGGTGAAACTAGGTCGGTTTTGGTAATTAAAGTTGAAACAGGTCATTTTTGGGGAATATTTTTGCAAAAGGGTTGGTTTTAAAATTTTGTCCTTAACATGTCACATATTTCGTATATGACATGTTTTAGATAAGGAGAAATTTTTAAATTAGAGTCTTTCATGAATTTATTCACCAAAATTGACCTTATTTTAATATTATGAGTTAATTTCACAAAAACCCTCTAAACTTTGGGGGTATTACACATAACCCCACTAGACTTTGTTTATCTCACATAACCTCCTTGAAGTATGGGGTGTCTTATAAAACCCCCTTGAACTTTAGCTTGTCTCACCTAACCCATCTCTGTAATTTAGAAATAGCTAAAATTTTCTTGAGAGAAAAAAAAAACTCAAGTTTAGGGGAAGGAGTATGTTGTCTTTAAATGACAGATCATAAAAGTTGGGAATTAATTTTCTCTTAAATTCCAAGGGATTGCCAATCCCTTGGATTTTGTTTCTTAATTTTTACAGCATTGACAATCCCTTAGAGTTTCTTTGTTCAATTAAAATCCACATAATAGATAGATACCATATCTTTACGTAGGGGTTTCTCGAAGTAGAGTACATTGATTGCCAATTCTGTGAACTTTAATAAATGACAAACAAATTCTTTGGCAATCCCTTAGTTTAATCTCTATGGGGTTGCCAATCCAGATCGAAAACTTTTTCTTTTCCAAAATCAACCCACTTTCAAAGCGTCATTCTAACGTGACTGAAAATATTTATTACACTAGGTCAATTTTGCAGAATAATTTTGTGAAAGGATCTATTTTAAAAATTTCTCCTTTTGACAATCTTATTTCATGTACTTTTTTTTTACCCCTATGCACATTTTTTTTTTTTCAAATTTACTCCATTTAGTGAAGTTATGGCAATTTTAGATGGTTCAAAGGATTTTGTTCAATTTTAAAAGTTAGGTTTTTTTCGTAATTTTTAAAGTTGAGGACATTTGTTTAAAACACTGAAGTTTCAAGAGATTCTTGGAGAGGATCTGAATCCCTTGTAAAATTCGCTCTAAAATCAATATAAAGCGAAGAGTTAACCTCAACCGTTGGATACAGGTATCTACATCCAACGATGGATTTGATCTCAAATTCAAAAATCAAAAACGCAAGCGGGCTCAGTCCTTTTAAGTTCATAATACAGCCCATTTGACCGTTGTAGCTCTCCCAAGAAAAATCCCTCTGCCCTCTCGCACTCGATTTCAAATCTCTCCTCGAACTCACGAAAATTTGATAGAAAAATCCTTGAAATTTCTCATTTTGAAGAGATCTGCGATTTGAGAAGAGCTATGGGTGAAGAATCGTTACCGATGACTCCTCTCCCTCAGCCATCAACGGTTGAAGAGATTACCATTCAAGGTCTCTAGATCTTTTTCCCCAAAAATTTTCTTTTTCCCCCCTCAAATTTTTGTATTAGTTTGAAATTTATGGGAACCTTTCTTTTCTTTGTTTTAGATGGAACACCAATTAAAGAGGATAGCCCGTTTCCTCAATCCTCTAGTGGTAGGATTCATCAAACCCTAGATTAGAGTAGAGACCCTAAAATTGAATTTTTTTTAATCCAAGTCCTAATTCCGATTCTTTCCTGTATGAATCAGATGAAGAGATTATGCCAGAGGAGGAAACAAGTCAAGAAAATGGTATTTTTCTTTCTTTATTTCCTTCCCTTTTACAATTTTACTCTTTTAATGTTCTCATTTTGGCCAAATTTTCTTGTGTATAGTTATCCTCTCTGATTTGGGTTCGAATTTGGCCGATTCATGTGATATAGATGAGAAGGGAAGAAGAAGTATTCAGGTATCAATTTCTTTCATAAATAAAACTAGGCCCATATTGCATTTAAAAAAAATAGATAATTCAAATTACCCTTTCAGGAACATAAAGATGACAGTGTGATTCCATCCCCAGTATTAAAGGGAGAATCTATTACATCCTTTTTCGGCCCTGATCTCACTTCTGCTCTTCAGCTTCTTGGTAAGCTATTTTCCTTTGATTGCTTTCTCCCCCCATTTAGATTAGTGTAATATATCTCCATATATTGCCTTTTTTAGGAACAAAATACAACAATTTAGTGAAGAAATGCCAAGAACAAACTGCCGAAACTGACCAGTTGCGGGCTAACTGTGAATTGTTAAGAAACAAGTGTATCCAAGAGTGTGAGCCCAAATATGAGGCTCTGAAGAAGAAGTATACTCGGGAGTGCTCTGAACGTAAGCGCCTGTACAATGAAATAATAGAACTGAAGGGGAATATTCGGGTGTTCTGCAGATGTCGCCCTTTAAGCTCGGAGGAAATATCCAAGGGGTATGCTTCTGTGGTTGAGTTTGACCCCTCCCAGGATTCAGAGTTGCATGTCGTCTGCTCGGATAACTCCAAGAAGCAGTTCAAATTTGATCATGTTTTCAGCCCAAAAGACAATCAAGGTAAAAAGTTCAAGAAGAAAATAAATGAGTCATATTGTATTAGGTTGTTAGTGCTCTCAATTTCTCTGTAACTACTTAGCTATGTGTAACTATAGTTTCTCTCTTTATTAGTTTACAATTACAATCTCTATATTTCATCATGCTATTTTTTTGTCCGTAAGTAATAATTTTGCCGGTTATTTAGCTCTATTTCTGTACTATTGTGAATAAGAGACTGTAACGAATTTAACTTTTGTTTGTTATATTTACGCATGTCCAAACCTGGCCGCTTTTTGTATGCCTATGTCTACAATATGATTTAACAGAGTTTATAAGCAATAATTTAACATAGTTGTTCTCTTTCTTAGTTTACTATTACAATCTCTAAATTTTATCATGCTATTTTTTGGCTGTAAGTAACAATTTTTCTGGTATTTTAGCTCTATATTCTGTACTATATAGGAATAAGAGACGAATTTAACTTTTGCTTGTTATATTTACGCATGTCCAAACCTGGCTACTTTTTGTATGCCTATATCCATATTCTACAATATGATTTAACAGAGTTTATAAGTGAAAATAGATATTTATGCATTACGTTAAGCTTATGTTATTGTGTACTTATAGGGATATTAGTTTGTAGATTACTGCACAATATGTACATATTTCTTTGCATGCCACCTATAGTTGTCTGACTCTATCATATCACCTTCTCTAGGTAACAATTGTGTGTCACTGTGTAAAGCAAGTATTCTCCTTGTGCGTCCTTCATTCAAGTTATCCATAAGTAGAAAGTTATGGCTAACGAACTACTATTCATTTCCTGAGTTACTAGTCAATTTCCTTGTTTAAATCTAAGAATCAGTTTGCTCCTTGTGCTGTTTCAGAGATTGTCTTTGCTGAAACTTTGCCAGTGGTAAAGTCAGTACTGGACGGCTACAATGTCTGCATATTTGCTTATGGACAGACTGGAACTGGAAAGACATTCACCATGGAAGGAACACCAGAAAACCGCGGTGTCAACTATAGGGCCTTGGAGGAACTGTTCAGGAGTTCAATTGAGAGATCTTCAATGATTAGATATGAATTTCTTGTGAGCATGTTGGAGGTTTATAATGAGAAGATCAGGGACCTTCTAACGGAAAATTCAGATCAGCCCGCAAAAAGGTAATTCTTTCACCTTGGTGTAGTTTTAAACTAATCTTCCTATATAGACTTACTTATCTGACGAGCACTGTCTTTGTGTTGCTTTAAAAGGTTGGAGGTAAGGCAACTACCAGATGGAAGCCAGGATGTGCCTGGTCTTGTTGAAGCTCAAGCATGCAACATAGATGAGGTGTGGGAGATTCTCAAGACTGGGGGAAGGAACAGATCAGTTGGATCCACTAATGCCAATGAACTAAGCAGCCGTTCTCACTGGTAAGGTCTTTGGGAAATACAATTTTCTTGGTACTACTGGGGACTCATGTATTTGTATGGTGTCAGATCACTAAGAATTAGCACAAATAATGCACTTAAATAGAATGTTGGAGTAAATATCTTCAACTGAAGTTTTGCGATTTTTTTGTTCCCAATATTTTATATGTTTAAAACTCCTCTCTCTTAAAGGTATAAGCAGCGGATCTGAGTTTTTCTTAGCAAGTGGTACCAAAGGGCAAGGTTCAGCGTGAAGTCCTATATACAGGGAGAATGATGTTGGAAAACTACGTAGATTTTCCTATTACCAGATTTAAGAGAAAGCGAAATAAATGCACAAAAAAGGGGGACACGCAAGATTTACGTGGTTCGACACAAACTTGCCTACGTCCACGGGCTGCTGCGGATCTTTCACTAAAGGAGAGAAATTTTACAAGTGTTTTTCACACTCAAACTCACAACCCAAATTTCACTCCGAAAATTGCTCACAGTTTCTCTCACTGAGTGTTCTCTCTTAGCCTCTCTATTTTTTCTCACTGCCTTGGATTGTTTCTTAGCAGCTAAAAGATGACTGACAAAGGGAAGAGGAGTGTTCTATTTATAGGTGCAGAACCCCCCTCCCCCCTCCCTTCTTAATTTCTTCCTGCTCTTTTTGACATTTGCTCAGAGCTTTCGGTGACCTTCTTTGTTTACATGAGGAGCCACCAATCTCCTGCCTTTCGGTGGCCTCCTTCGTTGACAAGAAGAAAAATATCCACCTTCCTTGACAATCTCCCACTTGAAGATTGATTTCAATCCCTCTTCACATCTCGATCTATACAGCAACTCTTCCCCGGTCTTTAATATTATTGCAGGCCAACTGAAGCTGAACACAGCTTCAGTTTGTCAGTAGTCACCATCTTTGTCAGTATGTCTGTCGGATTTTGAGCTCTATTGATCTTTTCAAGCTTCAAAGTTCCATCTTCCAGAAGTGACCGGATAAAATGATACAGCATCTGTATGTGCTTTGTTTTGGAATGAAAAGACGTATTCTTTGCTAGATGAATAGCACTTTGACTGTCGCAATATAAGACATTGTCTTCTTGTTTCTTGCCTAACTCATCCAAGAAACTTTGAAGTCAAACAATTTCCTTGCTGGCTTCTGTAACAGTGACATATTCTGTTTCAGTTGTGGAGAGAGCAACTATCTTCTACAGTTGAGAAACCTAACTCACCGTAGTACCTCCTAGAGTATAGACATACCCTGTAGTACTCTTTCTGACATCAATATTTTCTGCTAAATCAGCATCCACATAACCTGTTAGTATTGTATCTCCACCTTTGAAACAAAGTGATTTACCTGTGGTGTCCTGTAGATATCTGAGGATTCATTTGACTGCTTCCCAGTGTACCTTGCCCGAATAATTCATATACCTGCTAACAGCTCCCACTGCTTAAGCAATATCTGGTCTTGTACAAACCATGACATACATCAGACTTCTAATTGCTGAGGTGTACGGGACCTTCGCCATTTGGTGACTGCTTTTTAGAAAGTCTGAAATGAATACCTAAAGGTGTACTCACTGATTTAGCATCTTGCATATTAAACCTGGAGAGTACTTTGTTGATGTACTCAGCCTGTGATAACATCAAAGTTCCAGATTTCATCTCTCTTGATCCTCATTCCAAGAATCTGCTTTGCAGCGCCAAGATCTTTCATTGAGAACTGCTTTGATAATTTTTGCTTCAAATTTGTAATCTCTTACAGATCTGAACCTACAACGAGCATCATCAACGTATAATAATAAAATAATGAAACTATTATCAAACATCTTGAGATAACAACAATGATCTGTTTGGCATCTAGTGAAACCGTTGCTAGCCATAAAGTTATCAAACTTCTTATACCACCGTCAGGGAGTTTGTTTTAATCCATACAAGCTCTTCTTCAAACGACATACTAGATTTTCCTTACCTGCCTTTATGAAGCTTTCTGATTGCTTCATATAGATCTCCTCCTCCAAATCACCATGAAGGAAAACTGTTTTTACATCTAACTGCTCAAGATGTAAATTCTCAATAACTATAATTTTCAACACCAGTCTGATTATAGTTAGTTTCACGACCGGAGAGAAATTTTATTATAGTCAATACCTTCTTTTTGCTGAAAGCCTTTGACAACCAATCTTGTCTTGTAGCGCTTGTTCACATCATGCTTTTCTTTGATCCTGTAAATCCACTTGTTTATGAAGAGCTTTCTTACCTGGTGGTAATTTAGCTAAGTCCCATGTCTGATTTGACATAAGCGAGTCCATCTCATCTTGCATAGCAGACTCCCACTTGACTAAATCCTCCACCTGCATTGCTTCATCATAACACTCCGGTTCACCATTGTCAGTCAGCAACAAGTAGTGCAAAGAAGGCAATTAACGCTAGGTTGGCTTAGGATTTCTGGAGGAGCGTCTCACTTCTGACGTGCTTGGTTCTTCTTGAACTACTTCAGGACTAGTCTGAACATCATTTTCAGAAATCTCCTCAAATTTAGCAATTTTTTTTATTTCATCTTTTGTACTAGAGCTACTTGATTCTACAGTTGATCTGTCTTTGTACATCACATTCTCAATGAATATGGCATATTTGTTTCTGATGATATTTTGATTTTCATAATCCTAAAATCGGTAACCAAACTCATCACTACCATAACCAACAAAAACACATTTGTTAGATTTTACATCAAATTTAGTTCTTTCAGCAGAATCTATGTGTACATGAGAGATACAACCAAAAATTCTTAAATGCGAAATGTTTGTCTTTTTTCTGCTCCAAGCTTCTTTCGGTATTTCACCATCCAAGGGAACTAAGGGCCCGCAGTTGATTAGGTAGGTTGTGGTATTGATAGCTTCAGCTCATACGAACTTGGGCAAATCTGCATGTATCCTCATGCTTCTGACACGTTCATTCAAAGTTCTGTTCATGCGCTCCGCTACGTCATTCTGCTATGGTGTCATAGGAACAGTTTTCTCCATCTTGATCTCGTTGTTTGCGTAAAGTTCTTTAAATCTACTGTCTTTGTACTCTCCTCCATTGTCTGACCTCAACCACTTTATCTTCAAACCAGTTTTATTTTTCACCATGGCCTTCCATTTTTTGAAGGTATCAAAGACTTCTGATTTCTTCTTCAGAAAATAGACTCACACCTTCCTTGTAGAATCATCAATGAATGTGATATAGTACAGTGAGCCTGCAAGGGATGGGACTGGAGATGGGTCCCATACATCGGTATGAATCAATTCTAACTTTTTTTGCCTTGGGTGTCTTGCCAATCTTTACAAAACTGACTTTCTTTGTTTGTCAAAGATGTAATCCTCGCATAGGCCGACATCTATATTCTTCAGATCGACAGCTTCCCTTTTGACAGAAGTGTTTTCATCCATTTCTCGTTCATATGGCTAAGTCTTTGGTGTCATAGGTTTGATTTTTTATCTGCATTTGTTACTGCAATAATATTCTTTAAGTTTGAGGTTACATAGAGAGTACCATTTTTCTTACCTCGAGCAATGACGAGTGCTCCTTTGGTAATCTTCCATTCATGATCTGAGAAGGTTGTACAGTAACCCTATCCATCAAGCTGTCCCACAGAGATCAAATTCCTTTTAATGTTAGGAATATGTCTCACTCCTTGCAGCTTCCATGTGGTCTGATTTGGTAATTTTAATCGGATGTCTCCCTTGCCAACAATCTTCAAGGTTTCATCATCTGCTAGATGTACCTTTCTGAAACACCGCTGACGTAGTTCTCCATGATTTCTCGGTATGGGGTGGAATGGAAGGATGATGTCCCTGAATCAAGAATCTATGATTCAATCGGACTGTTGACGCTTAGAATCATAGCATCACCTCCTTCGGTCACGTTTGCAGACTCCTGTGCGTCGGTAGTTTTCTTCGGTGCCCGACACTCATTGAAATGACCATTCTTGCCACAATTGTAGCACTTAAAATCTTTCTTTCCCGATCTAGATTTGCTCCTTCTAGATTTTGATCTGTCGTGATTTGAACTTCTTTCTGAAGTTCTTCCCCTAGACTCCGTGTGTAAAGCTGAGGAGGTTGAAGCTTTACTTGATTCTCTTCGTCGAATTTCTTCACTAAGAACCAAATCACGAACGTCATCGAACTTTAACTTGTTGCTTCCCGATGAACTACTCACATCCGTGACTGTAGCGTTCCAGCTTTCTGGTAGGGAAGATAAAAGGATCAACGCTCGAACTTCCTCATCAAACTCAATCTCAACTGAACTCAATTGGGTTGTGACTATGTTGAGTTCACTAAGATTTGAGCTACCGATGCGCCTTCCGTCATTCGCAAATTGAACAGTCGTCTCATCAAGTGAACTTTGTTTGAGGCAGAGAGTTTCTCATACATGCTGCAGAGAGCCGCTATAAGACCCGTCGTGATCTTTTCCTTTGCTACGTTGAAGGCAACGTTGCGGGATAACGTCAATCGAATAACTCTAAGGGCTTATCTGTCGAGGAGAGCCCACTCTTCATCCTTCATATCATCTGGCTTACTTCCTGAGAGAGGTTGATACAACTTCTTCTAGTACAGATAATCTTCGATCTGCATCTTTCAAAAGCCGAAGTCCGCACCATCGAACTTCTTAATTTTTATCTTCCCTTCGTCTACAGCTATTGCTCCTACTAGAATCTGGCTTCCTCTAGATTGTTTCTAGCAATTTCTGTGAACCACCGTGTATTATAACACTGCTGTCAACGAACAAGTATTGCCGATAAAATTTTACTATTCACGAAATTCACTATTCACGTGAAATCTCACAGAAAATTGACAGACGTCACAACCAGAGCTCTGATACCAGTTGTTGGGAAACTACGCAGATTCCCCTATTATCAGATTTAAGAGAAAGTAAAATAAATGCGTAAAAAAGGGGGACACGCAAGATTTATGTCGTTCGGTATAAACTTGCCTACGTCCACGGGCTGCTACAGATCTTTCACTAAAATGGAGAAATTTTACAAATGTTTTTCACACTCAAACGCACAACCCAAATTTCACTCTGAAAATTGCTCACAATTTCTCTCACTGAGTGTTCTCTATTAGCCTCTCTATTTTTTTCTCACTGCCTTGGATTGTTTCTTAGCAGCTAAAAGATGATTGACAAAGGGAAGAGGAGTGTTCTATTTATAGGTGCAGAATCCCCCTCCCTTCTTAATTTCTTCCTGCTCTTTTTGACATTTGCTCAGAGCTTTCGGTGGCCTTCTTTGTTGACATGAGGCAGCCACCAATCTCCTGCCTTTCGGTGGCCTCCTTTGTTGACAAGAAGAAAAGTAGCCACCTTCCTTGACAAATGATCCATGGATAGTTGATCTCCAATTTAACTCAAAAGTCAACTCTACCCACAAGTTATGGATGAAATATAGATCTGTCTCTCCAAGAGTCCATTGTTTCTCATGAGTAATTGAGGTATACTCGTGGATGAAGGGAGGAAATATTGTTGGGAACTCATGTGAAAGTAGCCCAACAACGGAAAGAATTAGAGCTAGTTATAGTTTTAATTAGGAAGTTAGAATGAGTATCTAATAGGTTGTCCTTTTAGGTTAATTTGGTTCTCAATCTATATTTAGGGGCCCATCCTCCTCCCAGAAAGATACAGATTCTACAAATCAAGTATATCTTTTGGTCATTGTTTAAAGGTTTCCAAGGGTTGAGTTCACTTATTTGTTGGTTGGGTCCAAGTGTAAATGCACCCTGCGAGTCACGTTGTAGTAAATGATTTTGCGGCAAGTAGTCATGCAAGTTATTTGCTCGGTTTTGTTGCAAATGCTATTGTAGGGTAAGCAGATCTGCTTTAAGGTTACGATGTGGCACTTGGAGAGACCTTACACTGTTTACATTTTGTACTACAAGCTGTTAAAACTGGTGTTTGAACCAATTTGATCGCAAGAACACTTGCGAGTTTTTGGGAAGTTATATGACTAAACTAACGCAATTTGACCTAAAACGCTAGAGAACATTTTTTTCCAACTTGTATGGTAAGGGTACACTTCTTTTTAAAAACAAATTACCACATTGACTTCCCGGGTCGACATAGTAGGAGTATGAAATAACTTAACCAGGTGCATATCTTTTGCTATTCTGGTTGAGTACAGAATGTATGTGGAGTACAATGTTTCTATATGTGGTCCAAAAGTTTCACTGCCTTGAGAATTTTAAACTTATTTCTTCTTCAACAGCTTGGTTCGGCTGACTGTCATGGGGGAGAATTTGATTGACAAGCAGAGGAGCAGAAGCCACATGTGGCTTGTGGATTTAGCAGGAAGCGAGCGAGTAGGCAAGACTGAAGTAGAAGGAGAGAGGTTAAAAGAGTCACAATTCATTAATAAGTCTCTCTCTGCGCTTGGGGATGTTATATCTGCCCTGGCCTCGAAGAATCCTCATATACCATACAGGTAATTCCACCTTTCAATTCCCTCCTTCCTTTTCTCTCTGTCAGAAACTCTTAACACTCTGCTCCCCTCATGAAAACCACAGGAACTCGAAGCTGACCCATTTGCTACAAAGCTCCCTAGGTGAGAGAGATTATAATCTTTGTAAGATATTTGTTCAATTTCATTTTATTTCATGCATAAACGCTGAACAGAAGATGATCTATAATTAAACAGGAGGGGATTGCAAGACTCTTATGTTCACACAGATAAGCCCAAGCTCAGCAGACTTGGGAGAAACTCTTTGCTCCCTGAACTTTGCAAGTAGAGTCCGGGGCATTGAGTATGGCCCTGCCAGGAAACAATCTGATCCACAAGAGAGTTTTAAGCTCAAACAAATGGTATCACATTCTTATCGCATTCTGTTGTCTTTTACTGTTGTACACTGCTAGGTGTGATTTATCATGGATGGCTGAGCCCAATAATTTTGCTGTTCTTTACTTTTTGCCCCCTCCTACGCAGGCAGAGAAGCTACGACAGGAAGAGAAGGAAACTGGAAGATTGAATGAAAGTTTACAGTTGATGCAGCTTAAGTATGCTTCAAGAGAGAATGTGTTCAAGACACTTCAAGATAAGGTAAAACATGGAAGTTGCTACGATAATACGTTCTTCCTTCAAATATTAGAGCTGCAATAAGTGGCACAAGATAATAACAGACCCAACATAGAGAAATTTGACCTGTTCAAATACTTTTTTTAACCCCTTGTGTTCGTGAAGAATTTTTCAAATACCATAGTTAACTACTGTTTGATAGGTTGATGTAAGTTGTTTCTATGCTGTCCATTTTCTAGTATTAATGACAAGCCTATGCTTATTTGTCTTGTCACAGATAAGAGATGCTGAGCAAGCATGCAGAAACTATCAGATGAAGGTATGTATAAGAAATAACATGAATCAAATGGCTAAGAAAAGTTTGTGGTGTTTGTCAGGGTGTTAGTGAACTCCATACGGTGCATTTGTGTGCCTGTGATCCTCCCTTTTACATTTTAGAAAAAGAAAAAGAATAAGCAATCCGTCTCTATATGAGCTGTTTGCAATGTTGGCCTCATTGCTTGATTTTTACATATTTATGATTATAAGTGCATTCCCCAGAGTCTCAGAGCTAGAGTGAGAGATTCTATACATACACCAATCTTGAGTGATTAACTTTGGCTAATAACGCCTTTGCACACCTAAGACATTCGGTGCTAGAGTGAGAAACTTTATACATACACCAATCTGAGTGAAAAACTTTGGTTAATGCCCAGGAAATATTCAAAATTTAAGATCTAACAATTATCCTTAGCAAATATAATTTTCGAAAGTACTACTTCTATATGTCCTTTCTAGGTTCCAAAAAATCTAGTTACGAAATAAATATTGTTGAAATTTTGGCTGAATGTGGCAGGTTAGAGATCTTGAAAACCAATTAGCTGATCAGAAGAAAGGCCAAGGTCAAATAGGAAACAGGGAGCCTGCCAAGTATACCAAACCACCACTTGTTCCCATCAGGGAGAGGCAACCTTTAAGCCGGATCACAAACCGCCTGCCACCTCCAGGTCCTCGAAGGAGTACAATGACTACCACACGGTCATTTGAAAATAAAGAGAACATTTTTGAAACAAAGAAGAATGTGCCAAAAGCTCGAAGGATTTCACTGTCCCCTATAGTTCGAAGCATACCAGTGCAACCCAAGAGGAGAGCATCCATTGCTATTCTTCCCAGTGAAGCAGAAAGGCGACAGCCACAACATACTAATTCCAACTCTCAGTTTTCTCGGTTGAGGATACCAAGAAGGATGTCTGTAACTTCTTTTGCTCCTCCGGCTCCTGGAACTCCACTAGCCACTCCGGGAAGCAAAAGCAGCAGGTTTAGTAGTTTTTTAGCCAGCAGCAGCAAATACTCTAGTCCTCCTAATATGCAGGCAGTATGGAAATCCAAGATACCAACATTTGCTTCTCCAAGAAATAGGCTTCAGTTGCATTCGAGCCCAACCAATTCTAGCTGTGCAAATAATGCAACGTCACTGCACAAGTTGTGCTTCAGTGTTCAAAAAAGAGTCATTGTTGGCTCGCCAGCGGCGCAACCAAAGCAACACCCTGTGCTCTTAGGATCAAGCCTAGGAAATCGAGCTTTTCAGAGTAAGGATTCACTGGGGCGATATGGTACTGCCCAGAGAGTTGCGTGCAAGAATCGGAGGCAATCAGTAATCTGAGGTCCAGTATAAATGAAGAGTTGTGTTTCCCTTTTGAGATAGTAATCTGCAACAGTTTGTTGAGACTACCAGGGAATTCCATATTTTGAGTTCCAGCAAGTTTTTTTTTTTTAAATAAACAGCAGAAGCTCAAATGAAATTGCTGCGGTGCTACTTGTACGGTTATCTATTGATGAAAATTGGTTGTGTTTGTAATTTGTTTGTTACATGCATCGTTTACCTTGTGAAGAGCGGGTGTGTTTTGTATTGTTTTCATACTGTACTCTGCTCTTTCAAGTTCCCCTTTCGAATTCTCTCAAGATCCCCTTTCTGATTTGGCACCCTACGTGGTTGATATGGTTATATACATAGATTTTCTGTCTAATTAATTTATTTGGTTTGCACCTACAGATTTGTTTTCTTTATACTATGACAAATTCGCATTCTAAAATGGGTCGTTTGTTTTCTTTATACTATGACAAATTCGCATTCTAAAATGGGTCGTCATCGCGTACTTTTTTTAAGGCAATGCATTTTCTGTCCTCTTTCATAGAAGCATAAATAATGTTTCTGGATTCCTGCAACAAGCTTTATGATCTAATTCCTTGTTCACAAGCTTGAATTGCACTAAAAATAAACGAACATCCACCATGCAGAAGCTACTATTAGATCTGAAAAGATATCATGGAAACTCTTCTTACATCTACAATATGAACATCTAAGAGTATGAAGTCTGACATGGAAATTTCAGAAATTTAACAGCACCAAATGATAAAGAAAGAAAAAAATAATAATAACAATATGATGTTGCCTTTCTCGGGTTACTATACACGCAAATATGATAATGCAAGGCACATCAACATCTAACAATATGATGTTGCCTTTCTCGGGTTACTATACACGCAAATATGATAATGCAAGGCACATCAACATCTCTGGACAGCAGGTTGACATTTTGAGTTGTCTATACACGCAAATATGATAATGCAAGGCACATCAACATCTCTGGACAGCAGGTTGACATTTTGAGTTGTGAATCTTAGTCCACTCTTTTTGCTTGCATATCTGAATTGGCCTCTCTACGATGTACCCTGCTGCTTCCTTTTGTAGCTGTGAGCAGTACCTACTAAACGTTCCCATGGACACTTGAAGTCTGAAGTCAAGAGTAAATAACAAGTTTATCTCCAATTTGTTCATCTCTTGGGTACTCACTCCTCCCACCCTGGCATAATATGCGTTGTTGAAAAACCTGCAGTCGAGTTTAGTGAATATCAGGAGTCTACAAGACCCTGGAGGCAACATAAATAATTAAGACAGGTTGATCGAACAACCACATATACATATATGATAGTTGCCAACTTGTCAACTAGTCTGTAGTGCAGAATAACAAGCTAATATTCACTATATTTGTGCAGAACCAACTTTGTTTCAGAATAAGCAAATTACTTGTGCAAAAGTCTATCTGCACTTGCTGATGTAAGACTCAACCCCCTGACAAAATAACTGAAAGCAAAAGTCGGTCTTCAAGGCTTACAACAAGTAGTTTTATCCCTGAATAAATTCATAATAACTACTTATCAGAACATATCCTACTGATCTTCCTATCCCTGAGAAGACAACTGTTAAGGCTTGATTTGCGGCACGACTGTCAGGTAAGGAATTCATTTTTCTCAGGCTTGCCTTAGGTAAGGCCCTTCTCATCCAACTGAAGGGAGATATCGATTAATTAATTACTAATTAGCATAAAATAAATGTAGGGTAGAAATCCCTCAGGTGAGCAATCATATTATTACTTCTGTATATACATAGAAAAGTAAGTCAAGTGAGTAAAACACTTCAACACGTAGGCAACGCAAGTACAGTAATTGCCTCACATAAATTACCTCCAAGTATTACATACTGGGGTTTTCGATATTAGTTCCTTAAATCATCAGTATTTTGATATTAGCCCCTCAAATTGCATCAATATGTTGATATTAGTCCCTCCATTAGTATTTCCGTTCAAACTCTCAACCATGGTTAGTTTTAGTCTAACCATCATTAGGTAATCACCAAAATACTCACCCCCATTTTATTCCCCCAATAAAACGGTCATTTTCCTCTCCCCTCCCCATTTCCCACTAACTTGATCCCCAGCAAGGACACAGGCCCCTCGTCATTGATGTCGTCAAAGACGATATAAGCTTCGTCCCTCAAGAGGCGATCCATTCAATTATGAGGAACAATGTTGGCTTGAAGAGAGGGTTGGTGATGCCACTGGGCAAAGTGAGCTTGTTGAATATGAAGTTGAGGAAGGAGTTTGATCTGTATGCCTCAGCTGTCAATTCCCTTTAATTTTCCTCGGTTGTCAAGTCAGCATGAGGATGTTGATACTTGATACTGTGATGAGTAGGGACGATATGGAGGCTGAGTACTCAGGGTTGGAACATGAGGTTGCACCAGTGAGTTGTTGAGAGTCTCAAGGTCATTTTTCGGATTTGTTGAATGTTAGATTCTTTGATTTTGTAATTTAAGCATGGGTCTAATCGTATTTTATTGCATTTCGTAGATCAAGTTAACTAGGTTTCATTGTTGATGAGATGCAACATAAAACTCCATACCAAATTTGAAGATCAACAGGGTTATTGTTAGTGAGATGCAACAGAAAACTCCATAGCAAATTTGAAGATCAACAGGGTTAGCGATCTAGGCTACAGAAGGAGAAGTGAACAATAGAGGAGTTTAAATGGCCTTATATAGACTCACTCAATGAAAAAGAGCCGTTGAGAAATGGATTCCCTGTTAATGGGCAGTTGGAGAAGAAGAGGGGTGAAATGGGTTCAGATTTCGGACTCTTATCGGGTTTAAAGGGTTCATGGGTATGGGTATTAGGACTGAGGGATATAACGGTCCATTCAAGAGAAAAGTTAAACATAACGGAATATTCTTCAACATTTAAAACCTCACCTATCTAGAGGGACTAATATCAACATGTCAATGCAATCTGTGGGACTAGCATCAAAATACGAAGATTCGGGGCGCTAATGCCAAAACACTGATGATTTAAGAGACTAACATCGAAAAAATCCTAAAATATTATATGAAAACAAAACTATGATAAGGACTTGCGACAGAAAATATATATATTAATAAGTATATATTTTCCCATGAGTTGAGTAATGATTCATTAATTTACCATTAAAAACTATGAGCACTTTTTTAGAACTAAATCCAAAGTCAAAACATTTGGAAGGAAGAACGCATGCAATACTTACGCATCATCAATGAATTTTGCTGCAATGACCACACTTGTCATGAGCAACCGATGAACATTGAGGCAAGAAAGATGGACACCTGGCTGCTCGAGGTATCTGTCAACGTATACATGTGCAAGGATAAAGCATGAAGGGCTACACTTTGAGTACTTGAATATGCGCTCAGTGTAACTTTGTATACTAAGATCTGGTGCTCTGAGACCATGGAAAATGGTGTCATTAGCTTTCCTCGTCGTAGAATCCATTGAACTCTCATTCTTTTGAATGGTCCTCTTGAGAACTGAGGATAACAGTGACAGAACCTGTGGAAATTCAGAATCTCCTTTCCCTGATTCACTAAGCCCTAAAAAACTGTAGTTCCACTGGTCTATTGACTCGGTTTCAGCTGCCAGAGACCCCATATCTAGCCAAAAGATGTCCTGAAAGAATACATTACTGAAATGTTATGTAAATTTAGCCCGCGGAGAGAATCTAATCGTTACTCAGAATTTCAACTGTTTGTTTGTTAATATATGACTTCCACAAGTAATGCTCTGAAACAAACGAATGCTTAAAAACCTAAGGATATGCTACATGTATATCATTAATTTATATGCTAATTTTCAAGTGACGATTAAAATACCCACTTTCTACAATTTCAAGTTGTGTAAGTACCTTCATACTTCTCAGTTGTTACTATAATCGTAACACGTGACCACACAAAAGGTAAAGGTATTCCCTTTCTTAAGTGTAATGCACCCTGAAGACCAATCGTTCACCTCAACACCGAGTACACGTCTGTTAGCTTGCGGAGTTGTAAGGCTTACAGAATTTGAGGGGAAACGAATAGTTATACGCATTTCCATACACTTGGTTATGAGTTATCTCTTGAGTGTCTCAATTGTTATTATGCAGGCGCGCAGTTTTTTTTGCATTCTTGCAACCATTGATTTCGCAACCCATTTCGCAATTGCATGGCCACTAAATCTACCAGTTAAAATCAATGATAAAATTATAGTTAGTCGGACAAGGAGGACTGGAGTTGGGACAAAGGATAGCTATGTTGTTCCTGTTGGTTTTTTGTTTTCGGTCGGAATGCGAGCGTAAAAACCCAACAATATCATCCACCTAATTTCAGGTAAAGTTTTGATTTGGTAACACATTTTGTCGATAAAACATATCGTGCCTAATTTCAGGTGCTGGTAACGCATTATAAGGAAGGTGATTTTATGGCTCAAGACACAAAGTTTACACAAGCTTCAAACAAACTTTCCAGGAATAAAAGGGGGAAAAAGAAAAAGAAAAAAAAAAGAGAAAGGAGCAGCTATTTTATCATTGATATCAAATGCTTATTTTTTTTAAAAAAAAAATGAAAGATGAGCTTCACCTACTAAGAGCCGGTGCAAATGATGAGTATTAGGGCTCAAAACGCAAAGCTCTCTTTGTTTTTTTCTCCCTAAAATCCCCACATTGTATGAATAATAATAAACGTTGAGTGCAAGAATCAGCAGCTACAGAGAATTTCTATAATTAGATTTAAATTGAGAGAGAGAGATGCATGATACTTACAGAGAAGGGAAATGGTCTACATGTAGAGAGAGGGCATACAAGCGTGTGCCATTAATATCTCTCCCCCCCTCTCTCTCTCTGGATTTTCTGTTTGCATCTCTGTTGTGGGGGTGAGAGAGAGAGAGGAGAGAGAGAGAGAGATTGGTGAGTCATTCTTTCTCTCTCTATTAGATATGTATATTAATAAAAAAAAATTTTTAAAAAAAAGGAGAGAAATAGACAGCTGTAGCCCACGAGAAAACGAGCAAAAAAGTTTTGTTTTTTTTTCTTCTTCTTCGGAAGGAGAACGTGAGTGGGACCCACGGGTCAGTTCAACCCCCTTTTCTCCGGCGGTGGTGTCGGTGCGTTCGGGTCCGGATCCGCCGCTTTCCGCGCCAAAATCAATAGGAAAAATGATAATTTTATGACCAAAAAAAAAAAAGTTTTATGCCGCTTTGATTTATGAAATGCGTCTCGATCCGTGGAGTGAGGTTTTGAAAAAGTCCATGCACGAAATCTGGTTCGTTCTGTAATTGATACTAAGGGCTGTTTGGTTGGTTTCCTAAAAACCAAGAAAAGAAAATCGGTACATGGAAATTAATAAAATAATATTTTTATCCATTTCCATCCCTAAAACTCACCACAACATCTAATAACATATTATTTTTATCCTCCAACTCATCTCATTTCATCTCCTTTCTTACCTTTAAAAATAAACCAAACACAAGAAATGTGTCACATCATCCAACTCATCACATCTCATTTTATCTCATTTTTAAAAATCACACACATCATCCAATAATATTGTGACAACTCATCACATCTCATTAAACATTCATTTCCATCCATTTCCTCAAAAAAAAAAACAAGAAATCAATTTCCTTAAGTACGTGTCACATCATCCAATAATATACTTCCAACTCATCTCATTTCATCTATTTTCTTATTTTTAAAAACGAACCAAGCACAAACAACCTCAAAACATCATCCAATAATATACCTCCAATTCATTTCCTTATTTTTTTAACCAACCAAACAACCTCAAAACAAGTTTTTTTAAAAAATCACTCACATCATCCAATAATAAGGTGACAACTCATATAATCTCATCTCCTATTCTATAATTTCCTTCTTTTTTAAGCCAACCAAACAACTTCAAAACCATTATAATAGGAAATAGGTTTCCTATTTTTTGATTTCTAGGTTTTTTTGGCCAAACGAACAGCCCCTAATAAAGAGAATTTACTTAGAAAATACAGTAGAACTAAGTTTTGTTTGGTCGCACGGTTAGTTTGTTGAGGATACGTGACTAAAATTAAAAATCCGATTGAAATCAACATAAATTTTAGAAATTATATATTTAATGCATTTGTTTTTGCCTCAAATTCATAGCATGAAAAGTACCAAACAAACAATACATTTGATAAAAATCTGAAATTTTAAACTTGTGGGTCTCATTTTCCAACGCAAAACCGAACGGATGGATACAAATGACCCCTTACACTAACATTAACAAATGCGTGAGATCCTTTGCTGAAATCTATGAGTGGACTCGAACTTTTTGTTTGTGAGGGTATAAAAGTAGTATAAGTTTTTGTTGTATGGTTGTCACTTTTTAAATAAAATACCATGCTACCCAATAATTGTCCCCAGTTTCTATTATTAACTGCAAAAGTCACTTTCCAAATCTCTCAAAAATGTGTATTGTATTGCTAACTTCCTTCCCAAATTTGTGTCTTTGATATTTGATATATTAAAATAAAAAATAATATACTTACCTAAGATAGGATCATTTCGGATTTTTTTTCTAATTTCCATAAATCACGTATCTCATTAGCTCTCATGTAAAATTATGATGGATATAGTGATGAGTTCTTTACTGAAGACATGCCTATGTATCTCATTAGCTCTCATGTAAAATTATGATGGATATAGTGATGAGTTCTTTACTGAAGACATGCCTATGATCAATGAGTAACTTATGTAGTTGTTACTTCACTTGTTGAACAGTAAATAATGGGCTGACTTCAGGGCAACAGCCCACTAAATAGTGGAATTAGTTGGCCCACGGGCCCATTATTAGTTCCCTGCCTAGAATTCTACTCCCAGAAAGCTCAGTTAGTTACCAAATTGTGTGACCCTCCCTTGCAATTTCAAGGACTAAAATGAAGTCACTGTTAACTGACAGTTCACTGATTATACAACTTCAAAACCATTATAATAGGAAATAGGTTTCCTATTTTTTGATTTCTAGGTTTTTTTGGCCAAACGAACAGCCCCTAATAAAGAGAATTTACTTAGAAAATACAGTAGAACTAAGTTTTGTTTGGTCGCACGGTTAGTTTGTTGAGGATACGTGACTAAAATTAAAAATCCGATTGAAATCAACATAAATTTTAGAAATTATATATTTAATGCATTTGTTTTTGCCTCAAATTCATAGCATGAAAAGTACCAAACAAACAATACATTTGATAAAAATCTAAAATTTTAAACTTGTAATGCAAAACGGACCAAACGGATGGATACAAATGGCCCCTTACACTAACATTAACAAATGCGTGAGATCCTTTGCTGAAATCTATGAGTGGACTCGAACTTTTTCCCCTTACACTAACATTAACAAATGCGTGAGATCCTTTGCTGAAATCTATGAGTGGACTCGAACTTTTTGTTTGTGAGGGTATAAAAGTAGTATAAGTTTTTGTTGTATGGTTGTCACTTTTTAAATAAAATACCATGCTACCGTGAGGGTATAAAAGTAGTATAAGTTTTTGTTGTATGGTTGTCACTTTTTAAATAAAATACCATGCTACGGTTTGCTACCCAATAATTGTCCCCAGTTTCTATTATTAACAGCAAGTCACTTTCCAAATCTCTCAAAAATGTGTATTGTATTGCTAACTTCCTTCCCAAATTTGTGTCTTTGATATTCGATATATTAAAATAAAAAATAATATACTTACCTAAGATAGGATCATTTCGGATTTTTTTTCTTTCTAATTTCCATAAATCATGTATCTCATTAGCTCTCATGTAAAATTATGATGGATATAGTGATGAGTTCTTTACTGAAGACATGCCTATGATCAATGAGTAACTTATGTAGTTGTTACTTCACTTGTTGAACAGTAAATAATGGGCTGGCTTCAGGGCAACAGCCCACTAAATAGTGGAATTAGTTGGCCCACGGGCCCATTATTAGTTCCCTGCCTAGATTTCTACTTCCCGAAAAGCTCAGTTAGTTACCAGTCAACACTCAACACCGGCGGATTTTCCGTGCACGAAGGAAAATAAGAAGGGCTGAGCATATTTGATTCGGTTCGATTTTATGCCCAATCCGCATCCAATCCGAATTTTTCGGATTCTCAAAACTCTTATCCTGATCCAGATTTTTTTTCCCCTTCATCCGAATATTCGGCCCAACCAAAATTCGGTTCGGTTTGGTTCGGTTTCGGTTTTAAATTTGCAAAAAGTTCTATCAAAAGACTTCTGTTGTGAATTTGCAAGCTGGCCATTGTCCTCATGATGAGGTTCCTGAGCTCACCAACAAAGCTTTATTAGACTGGTTATCATCTTTAGAATGTCCTCATGATGAGGTTCCTGAGCTCACCAACAAAGCTTTATTAGACTGGTTATCATCTTTAGAATAAAGTTTTGAGTTGATATAATTACGCAGAGAACTGATGTTTTAAAGATGTTGTTCATATAATACAGCACGCTTATCTCTTGGAAGTATCATGTACATAACACATTTTGTGATTGATTTGAATCTTATGTAATTCTCAAGATCTTTTCTGCGAAATTTTTTATCTCTTGGAAGTATCATGTTCATATAATACAGCACGATTAAGTTTATTTAATTACACGGGGGAGTGATGTTTTGTATGATATTTTTCATATAATGTAGCATATGCATCTTTTGTAAGTGCATCATGTGCATAACAAATTTTCTGGAGTGATTTGAATCTTTACTTAGTTCTCAAGGATATTTTTCTGTGATATTGCTGTACTCATTGCTTGAAACTGCTCCTTGTACCGTTTGAATCTATTGGATGATAACAGGAAAAGTTTTGAGGTATAAGTTTAGCCTCTAAACCGCCCAACAGAATTCGGGTCGGTTTTTTTTGGGCGGTTCAGGGGTTCAAACCGGATCCAAACCGATTTAATTCGGTTCAGACGGTTTAGAGACTTCTTCTCATCCATTTAATTCGGTTCGGTTAACCGGTCCATTTTTTCGGGCGGTTTTTTCGGTTGAACCGGTTTTTTTCGGTTTTTGCCCAGCCCTAAAAATAAGTGCAGGGGAAATAAGGCATAGGAAAGGGAAAATAAAATCATGTTTGGGAGTCTAATGAACGAAACGGAGGGGAATTATTTCTTAGCCATTGGATTTTTATCGTAATAGCCCAAAATCTTTTACTTCCTCTATACCCTAATTTGGAGGAAACCAAATTATATAGAATGGAGGTTAACGAATGTAAACTTTATTCCCTCCATTTCCCTCCATTTCCTTTAAAAAAAACCATCAAATAAGGTTAACCTATTTACAAGTTGGTGTCGCATGACGCTAGTTTGCCCAAGTTCCCAACGAAATATAACTTAAGGACGTTGAGAATTTGATCTTGTTAGCCTTGTAAACATTTGACCAAGTGAATACTTGGCTCCAAAAGTTACATTGGAAAAAGTTATTGCTTCAATATATTTTAACCCTCAAAGCTATCATGTCGTAGCAATGTAGCTTATATTATTAGAGTGGTGCTGTAGATCAAATGAAATTATTTCCTAAACAATTAAAATTAAACAATGGTGATATAATGAGATTGAGCTTACAACATTCATACTGTATGTATGAAAATAGAGGAGAAAAAAATGAAATTAATTTTATGCGAGAAAAAAAAAATTTGTTGGTGGTATATATTGAGAAAGAAATGGTTACAGTAGAACTAATAAATTATACGCTTTTTGCAAATAACGAAAACTCATTAGAAACCATTATAAATTTTTAATTATTAATTATATAGTGACACCCCTTTTCAAAAATTTTAAATTTGTCACTGCTAATCAATAAAAGCATTAATTAATGCTTTTATATATCCAAATAATAGTAGGAACAAGATTGTGTACATAGGGTTAATTGCATACCTACCCTTACAACATGGGTATTTGCAAACTATCTTCCTAATCTTACTATTTGCAAAATCGCCCCTCAAATGTTCGATTTTGGAAGAAGAAAATGCCCCCTGGATCTATTAATCATCAACTTTAATAGGCCAATTTGCAATCGCAATGTAAAAATTATCGACAAGATAGTCAAATTTATATTTATGAAGTTGATGATTTGTTAATTCTAGAGGCCGTTCTTGCCAAAGTTGATGATTTGAGGAGTAGCTTTACAAATACTAATATTTGAAGGGTTGTGGGACATATCTACAAATGACCACGTATATATTTATTTGTTGTACCAAAAGACAAGCATGATAATTTATTCTACCAATCTTGATGGCATGCCAAAAATCATAGATGAAAGCTACCTACCACAACCTCAATTTTCACACCACAAGCAACCTAAAAACCCAGTACCAGTTCACTGATAATTTTCCCACAGCAGAACAAACACATCCCGTTCCAAACACAGCATGCAATTTCTAGGACTAAAAATGAAGTCACTGTTAACTGACAGTTCACTGAAGACCGCCCAATCGGAACGCTCTTATTGTACATACTCCCATGGATCGATTGAAATGCTACCGATCAACATACACAGCGTAGGATAGGTGGGTGCGCTGCCAATTTCCGCATATTTTAGACACAGAAAATCAAACGTTTACCTTCAAACAAAGAAAAGATCTACAAATCAAAATCTCATTTGCGCAAGATTACGACTTATTAGACAGAGAAATACCAGCTGCTCGAGATTATGACTCATTAGACAGAGAGATATCGACTGCTCTTTTCCCCCCGTCTGAGGTGAAATAGAAAGGAAGAGCAAGACATGAAATGAGTTTGCGAATGTAATCGCCATTGCTTCCTTATTTCTGGAAACTTATGTCCATGGATGGGAGACAGTACAAAGCAGATACAATCACTTACCCAGATGTTGATGGCTTGTAAGCAAAGAAGATATAAAAATGTTCTGATATTTGGAAGTTCATGGCAATTTCTGCTTCCTCCATATCCCCTCACTGTTTTATTTATCTAACTACAAAACTATAACCTTCTTCCCTCTTGATGATTTTATTAAAGCGGGGGACTTCTTTTCTTTTTCTCTCTCTCTATGCAGACTTCACCCTTCTCGGGGAAACCAGCAAATACCTTCGAAGCGCAAGTATCGCTATCCAAGTGAACTTCGAAATCTTCTCCTTTATCATCAATAACAAGGCAGAACTAAGAACGGTCTTCAAGATTTGAGCCTGTAAACCTTTGAAGAAGCCTGGTATGCCTTCTTTACCCCATATAGCAGACACAGCACCCAGAACTGTCTTGGGGGGTTTTGGCTTCGCATTCTTTGACTCTTTGGACTCTTCGTCGTGATCGGCAGCTTGGATCATGACCTTACACCTGCACACAACTCATAGGTGTCCACTTGAGCATTAAATTGATAATCTCTATTGCTACAGAAGAATCAGAAATGAACTTAGAACACTAGTTTTACAAACTACTAAAGCAGAAGAAAAGGAGCTATAATAAGAGAAATATCATCATCATCTTATTCTAGAATGAACGTAAGCAAAACGTTCAAATATCAAAATACCTGATTGCTGGGTAGGTTAATACAGTCGCCACACTTTTTGATACAGCACCTAATGCAAAAGCTGAGAAGGCCGAGAGAGCTACTGAAGATCCTTTAGATCCCAACTCGTTTGAGTTGTTCTGTCTGTTCAGAAGCCTTTGTTTCAACTGATCAAAGACCGTATACTGCATTTTTTTTCAAATAAAAGTTAACATAGTCAAGGTACAAAACTAAATTCCTTGTTAAAAGCTAAAATAAATGACGTTGTACTCAAGGCTCAAATGTTTGGTTATTTTTTCATTAAAAGAGAGCATGAAATGCAATAAGTTGCTTTCAGAATTTCACAACGAAAAAGAACTATGATGGACAGGAAATAACTTTCAAGATTTTACAATGAACCATTCTCTTGGTGAATCCATCCATTGAAAATCGACAACGGAAAATCCACACAGTTGTAAATTTTCAACATATTTGAAGTGCCAAAAAGTCAAAATTTTGAATATTTAGCCTTTTTGCCCCTCATGCATCAAATAGCCCTAAACTGAACCTTTACATATTGAGTTGCTTTAATGTTTTTCAATAACCTTTTAAACCTAATAATCGGTGTACAATAGTTGCTTAGATTCTGAAAAGTATGAAGCAGTTTTAAGGTCACAAGATTTTGAAGGCACTACTATTTCATGAAAGAGAAACCATCTAGCTTTACGGTCTTTCTCATACATGTTGTACGTGAGATAAAGAATGACGTTAAAGAGGTGATCTGGAAATACCATTTACAAATGGCATAAGGGTGTATCCATCTTTTGGGCATAAGACAATACATACCTGTGAGATATTAACATAATCTGGTCTATGAGCCGAACAAAATCTGGGTAAAGCAATAGGAAAACCAGGTACTGCTTCCATATACACATGCAACAGAATGAGTCACAAACATATTCCCTCTGCAGTCCTTACACTAGAGATGTTGAAGAAGAAGCAATTTGTGATGTCCTACATTATATGAGTACGAGTACGGAT